GTTTGTTCCTTCACTGTGAAACTCGTCAACTATGGAAAACCGTACTATGGTAGCATCCCATGGGATCTCGATACGATCAATCCTGGGTTTCTATTATGTTTCTTCCTTGTTCCGGATCGAATTCGTTTCTTTTACAGCGTGATAAATATATTTTATGGGATCGGGGAAGGTTCGTGGTATAAAATAATCTGGAAAAATCGTTATCTGAGATCATTTGACGATGTTTGACGATGTTTGAGACAGTTTCATTAAGATCTTTTCAATGGATGAGCTCGGAGTTTTGTAATTATGAATTTTGAGAGCGATTTTACACGGAAAAAGTGTGGTTTGAGATTGTTTGATGATGTTTGAACACGTTAAGAACGGTGTTTTAATAAGATTTTCTTTATCACGAAAAGGATTAACGTTCAATAATTACGAATTTCGAAAAGAAAAAAGTGTTCTCGTTTTGAAGTTAAAATTTTGTTGAAGTTAAAATTTTTGCTGTAAGAATCCCTTCTCCCCTTTTTTTCAAAGCACAAAAAAAAGAGAAGACTTCGAATAAAAAAAAATAAAAGTGGAGAAACTACTTCTATCGAAAAATTCGGAAGAAATCTACCTCACCTCATAAACCATTCACGTCAGTTTTTCACTAAGGAATCGCTCCGAGTAAAACTACTCGCGCTTCAAACTTCCAATTCGAAACTTTCAATCCCGTTCACCCCCTACATTCCCGGGATAAAAACCGGGGAGAGATCTCCTCTAACAAACTCTCTCGCTCCGCCCATCCACGCGCAAGAAAACACGAAGCAAACATCTCGAACTCGAGGATACAATCCCCTCTGACCTTGTTCGGATCCCTCTTTGTTCAGAGGCGGGGAAATATATTTCCCAATCGCTCTCTGGTACATTGATACGCGCGTTGGACGAGCAGAATTAAAATCCAACAAGAGATTTCGCCGTCTCGTGAAATAAGAAAGAGGAAGAAATCGCGTGGCGGGAATGGGATGAAAGAAGGCAGCGAAAGATGTAAGAGTAGGAGAAGTAGTTGGACGGTATCGTTTTGGTTTGCTTTACAATTCAAAGAGGGTTTCTTTTTAAGTATTCAGGATGCGGAATCGTCGTGGGAGCACGACAGTAAGCGATGGCGAGCTTTTTCCCCTTGCCCGCGTCTTTGCCCGCGAAGATTATGTCACGGACCCGGTGCTTGTAATTGAAATCCACGTTTAGAATGCAGACAAGATCCTTTGTTCGCTTTTCTTGCCCCCCCCCTCCCCC